GGCTTCACTCTTTGGGCTATTTGATTTGGGCTGCACTTTTAGTGTGTCAACAATTACCTCCCAATATGGCAGAATTAATACAAATTATTAATCTTTGCCATATTTACTTTGTATTTTCCAGTAATATTTGAAATTCCCAAGAATTTCAATCATTATTTCCTTCTACAGCTTGAAAATGTGCAATGTTACAAACCCTTATAAACCTAAAAGACACGCCATTTCATCGCACCACTAAACTATGTCTCTATATTTCGTGCTTCCTCCTCGCTATTTTTACTGTTCATCTTCTTACTTTTCTGCTACGTTTCTCAGGCAAACCTTAACAAAACTGTACTTTGTTTCCAACGGCGACTTCACAAACTCAATTTGATGATTCTTTTAGTTTCGAAGATTTTCAGAAAATCCTTACTAGGCCGTATGTAAATCCAAACTTCCTTGCACAAGCTAATGCTGACCTCAATGAATTCAATCTGGATCCATCGTTCAATAATGCCGAAACCGTTGGACAAGTGGCGGTGGGCTAGCTGTTCCCCTGCACTCAAGGTCCTCCATTCCTGAACTCTCTGTCATTGAGGCCGATTCGCGAAAAAGGTATCCGTACTTGGCCCAAAGCTGATGTTATTTTTCGTAGATGGCATGCACGTCTTGTGAATCATGGCCCTACTAAAGCGATTTTTAATCGTGCTAGGATTTCAGACTTATTAGAAATCACTCTTCAACCCCCAATATTCGACCCAATGCTTTTTCCTATTGCTTTGAGTTTTTGGTCTTCTGAATATAACACCTTCGTTTTCCCTCTTGGTCCCATGTCTATTACTTTAAGGGACGTTGGAGCCCTAGCAAATCTTCCGCCTTTGGGCGATACCATCCTTCCTAGTATCTTGATTTTCAGTGTTGCCCCGAAATTTGACAAGAAACTTACTGAGTCCTATTCAAGCCTGCAAGGCTTTTATAATCACTCAAGCACTGAACCTTTCCATGCTGAGCGTGTGGCCTTTCTTCAAATTTGGCTTTGTAAATATATTCTCTGCGTGCCAAGTATGAAACCTTCTATGAGCTACTTACCCATAGCGCATGAATTGGCGCGTGGTAGGCCTTTGAACTTATGTTCTTTCTTTTTAACTGCCCTTTATAGAGGCATGGCTTCCCTTCAATTTCAACTGAAGAATGGTGCATCTCTCATTAGCAGCGAGCCCCTTTGGTTCACTCAACTGTGGTTGAGAGCATACTTCCCCCACTTTGTGCTCCATCCATTTCCCTTCAGTCTGCTAGCTGCTATGGGCTAGCCATTGATCCACTGAACCCTGTAAATATGTCCAGTAGGGACATTTTTTCATTCTTTTATACCTTAAATTCGATTCTTTCCTTCTTTCCTTTTCCTGCTCACTTGACTCCAGATTATGTGCAATCTCCATCCACCCTAGACAGTGTGAGTGCCTCTCTGCTTGTTTGGGTTCAATTTTTGATTGGGAGGGAATTGTTCCACGATATTTTAACTGGAACCAATGCCAAAGCTGGGGTTAAAATATATGCTCTCGTTGGTCGAGGTACCTCAGCTACCAGTTTCTTAGCAAAATAACTTGACCTCTTATAAATGTAGCAAATTTTACACGCCTCACAAGAGACCTAGAATTGAAATTTAGGACGAGAAGTAGGGGTATTTTATAGCACCAACTCAATGTATTAACTATGTTGCAGCATAAATAAAATCATAAACCACTTCTTCGTAGATATATTTACCTATTAGTTAGATGTCTTAGGAGTGATAAACTTTTTACCTTCTTCTTTCGTCTTTTTGGTGCAATAATTGTTGATTTAAATTGCTTGGCATTGGAATTAACTTGGATGAATTGATCTGGATTTATTGGTGGAATGTTCACAAGTAAGAATTCACCGTTTTTTTATTCACTATATTTTCAAGTAAGAACAAGGCCAATGGTTCTTAATTCTAATGCGGCTTAATCTTTCTCCATTTCACAAGTAATAGTTTTCACTTTTCACCAATTGATGGTCGCATCATTATTTCATGAAGTAAAGAGGACAAACTTGGAGTTCGCTATGAATTATTTGCTATAAGAAACTAATCAATGTGTTTCTATGCATGCTTGCATTTGTAGTAGGAAAATGAAAATTTCCAGCTTCTAAGTCGCACAAAATGTGAAAAAAAAACTTTAAGCAAAATCGAAGTTATATTATTCCTCAAATACTCTAGCAATCATAGTACTTACAAATGTTGTAATTTGACACCGGCAAAAAGTGGTTTTTCTTGTACTGTGTTTTAACTAGAACTGATATCTCACATTTAATAAGCATAACTAATGTAGTTCTTACACAAGATATCCAAAGGATATGTTAGCTCTGTGTGAATCTAATAGGATCATTCGACTTTGAAGAAAGTGCAAATCCATGATTACTAATCAGGCATTGCTGATACAGAATGATGAACCTACTAATTGTACACACAAAAATTCAAGTATTGACTTAAAGAGATAGTAAGAGGCCTAGAAATTCGGGATGAACTCTACATATGTGAACAAGATTTGGACCTGGGTCGACCCTCATGATGGGATAAAACCCATAGGTTGTAAATGGTTTACAATAAAAGGTTGACATGGATGGGAATATCCATACATACAATGCAAGGCTAATACCAAAAGGTAACAAACAAAGACAATGTGTTGACTTTGATGAAACTACCAAACACATTAGAAATAGAAAATAGCATAAACCATCAAATGGTTCATAAACAATCAGCATCGAATAAATGTAACACAATAAGAAAAAAACTTGCTAATCCCAGTACCAACTTTAGAGAAACACTTCTTTTCTAGTTCCTACTCAAACTAGTAGTTCATATTTTGTACAAGGAAGAACGATGAACTTTAAACAATCTACGTTTCCTCATCTCTCCACAAGCTAAAAGAAACACAGCCAAGAATGAACTGCCATCCAGCTCGGGAAGCCAAGATTCCAACAAGAAACCAGCACTTCATAGCTTTCATTAACCATGGAAACTCACTGCATCTGCATCGCAAGTGCACAATTTGATAGGATATTTCTCCACTGCTGATCTGAAGTGTGTCCTTCCTCTCTCTTGTCTGAATGGGACTGATACACTGACTCGTACAAGTTAATTTGCTTTCTAGAACTGCTGACATCATTATTGCAAGAAGGCACTTTCGCTTCACTAGACTCGGAGGGCAAGAGCTCAGAATTTGATGAAGTAAAAGATTGTGACGAGATGGTAGAAGCAGAACGTGTCTCCTTTGACGTGTCTGCATCAGACTTCTTTCACAAAACGTCCTCCAGAACCTCTTGCCCTCCTCAAAGCATGCTGGTGCCGGGACTCATGAAGATAAGGCTGAAAGTCAACGAAAGAAAAACAATTACCAGCAATACAGAGACACTCTACAGAAAGGACTTGAGGATCCTGAGATCAGCTTCTAAATGGAGCATATATGTTAACATATGCTATTTTTTTTCTTAATTTGAAGTGAAAAAAGTTGCTTACTCGAAAGCAACTCTTAACTTACTGTCAAAATAAGTAAGTTACTTATTTCCAACTTTGACCAATAAAAATAATTTATTTTATAAAACTTTGAACATAGCAAAGTATGCTCTTACTTCATAGGTTGAGAAGTGCATATGGGCAAACATCATCAGAGGCCTCTACTTCCTGATCAAGAGTATGTCCCACATCAGATATGGGATCAAACTCAAATTCATCTACTTCGTCAACTATATCTGTGGACTCTTGAACTCTTTCAAATTCTATTTTGCTCCCACTATCCTCTTCTAAAGTAAACATTTTCTCTAAGAAGACGATATATCGTGAGACGAAGACTTTCTTCTCAATGGGATAATGGAATTGATATTCAAATATTTGTTTTGGATATCCCACAAATATGTATTCATTAGATATATATACTCAAGTTCATCTGATTTAATGCGCTTTAAATAAGCGTCACAGTCCCAAACTTTCATATGGATAAGTTGGGACTATTTCCTTTCCATAGCTCGTACGAAATTCTATTAACCAACTTAGATGAGACATGATTTTGTATGTAGCACACTGCAATCAGTGCATGACTCCAAAAAGATTTTGGGAGATTTGCATGGCTCATTTTTAATTGGACTATATCTAATAGTTTACGATTCCTCCGTTCAAATACACCATAATGTTGCAGTGTATATGGAGGAGTTCACTGCAAGAGAATCTCATTCTTTCTTAGATAATCTAAAATTTATCTTTAAGATATTCTCACTTCGATCGGATCTTAATGTGAGGGTATCTTTACCTATTTGTTTCTCTACTTCTAGCCTGAATCCTTTGAACCTTTCAAGAACTTCATGCTTGAATTTCATCAAGTATACATGATAATTGGTGACATAAGAAAACTCTCATCTCGACATGGGTCCATATACATCACTATGTATTATACCAATATTTATGTAGACTTATTCCTTTTCAAGTAAAAGGAGATTTGATCATTGTGCTAAAAATGAATGTTTTACACTTGTCAAACGATTTAAAATCAATTGACACTACGTATACATCTCTATATAATTTTGAAATTGCATTTTATCTACAAGACCAATTCTGCAACGCCAGATTTATGTATTATTTAGATTATCACTATTATGCCTTTTAACTTCTATACTTATTATAGAATGCTTAGTAGATGCCTTTGGAAAGGACTACTCAATGACATAACCAATTTTCTCATGCATGAGAATAATTCTCAAATTGCGGTGCCAATCAAGAAGATTTGATTTGGTTTGATTGTTGGCATCCAGTATGCCATCCAAATACACATGGTTACATACGATTCAATAAGTATAAATAACAAAAAGAAAAATAATAATATATAAAATGTATCAATTAATTTAACATGGACTTTTATTAAATTAATTATGCTCTCACTGTTTAACTCAAATTTATAACCCTCTCACATAAATTTATAGAGTCCATACTTGACTCCCAGTGGGCTAGGATCCCATATGTTATATTAAGATCTTGAGTATACTCAACAAGCCTTAATATAACATTTGGGTAGATACTATAATCAATTGTATCTCCATACAACTCCCAGATCATGAAGCTGAAAACTCTTTGTCTTCACATATCTTATATGTTAGCTTAACATGCCTCTAAAATTATCTCCTTGAGTGTACTCAACAAAAGATAAATTTTAGTTAAGTCAAACCCTTCATTCAGAAATATCAAATATTTTATAGTGTCAAAAATATCCTTAATAGACCAGCCTTGAGTGTATTCAACAAGTTGAGACGATTTGAGACTCTGATTTTTCACTATAATGATGGAAGACAATTATAAATGTGACTTAATATTTTATGGAGGGATTTTGCATTCATAATTCTCATCTTAACAATCATATATATTTTATTATACATCTAACATGCAAATAAACATATGTATAATATAATATAATGGTGTGGACAATTATTGACTTTTACTAGCTAGTCTTCCCGAGTCATAAGGAAGACTAATTTGTCAATTCCTAGCTAAGATATTTGATTTGATAGAAAAAATCAAAATGTTTGATCTTATCAAATATGAAGATGAATTGTATGTTTGCAAGAAGATAGTGGGAGCATTGTAGCATTCTTAATAGGAAACGACATCTCTACATTTCAATCGTTGAAATTATGGTTGTTAAAGGATTTTTCATTAAAAATATGGAACAAGCAAATTGATCTATGGAGATATATATAGAAGATTGCTTAACTCATCCCAATCTACATAGATAAAATCTTGAGAGAATTTTATATGAAAAAATTGGTTTACTCTCAAACGGTGTATTGAAAAGGCTCCAAATACGAAACAATCCTTGATTCAATAGTAGAAATCTAATACATGATTATTTCAAAAGCAGCAAAGAGTTGCAACATGGATCAAGATGTTCATTAATGAACTCGGAGCAGTTCCTAATATAGTTGATCACATGCCATTATATTGTGATAACAATAGAGTCGTCGCACAAGTAAAGGAACTAAGGTCTCATCAATGATCCAAATATGTATTAAGACAGTATAATCTCATCAGAGAGATAACACATAGAAATTATGTAAAGAGAATAATGAATTCCCACATTTGACAATATTGCAGATCCACTGACAAAGAGTTGTCGTAGCATGACATGATCATTACGTAGGCTCTTATGATATTGGATACATAAATGATTGGATCTAGTGGAAGTTTGTAAGTGTTATGCCCTAGGTCCAATCAATTCTGAACATAAATACTTTTAATATATAATTAATGCAATTTAATGGCATATCTATTATTTAATTAATAGACAATTAAATTAAATAATAGAGTCCGTAGATTCAAATCTTAGTAATTCGTTAATCATAAAGAGTTGTGATTGTGAGATACAAATTACTTATGATTGAATCTTCAATCGCTTGTGGTCGTAAGTAATAAAGAGATATGGATATCGTTATTATGGATAGACCATCACGTGTGGCATTTCTTACTTGTGAAGTAAATAGCTTATCTCACAAGCTAAAGTGTGGTGACACTTAAATGAACACGTGGATGTTTTGTTATAGAATAAAGCTTTGGAGACCCGTCGAGGATTCCACATGGATAAATATCTGAGTGTCACTGGTTAACCTCTAATATTCGGTAGTGGGATTGGTCCTTTGACTTGAGGTCGTCATAGTACCTTATATGAGGACAGTCATACTTTGACAGTGTTAGATGTTGTTCTACCAAGGACCACTAATACAGTATCGTTCGGGTATGTCAAGAATCATATGAAGGTTGTGAATGACCAATAGAGGATTCGTCACTCTTAGATAGTAAGAGAATATGATATGCATTTCATTTAATTAAGTCGATAACAAAATTCTTGGCTAAGGTGTACACATAAGTCGAAAATGAGTTTTTGACTTATGTTGACTTAAGAGTGGAGTGAAAGATATGATCGATAATCGAGATTGACACACTTCCATATCTCGTAGTTGATCGGATCATATTGACGAAGGGATTATAGTTTCATGATAAACGAACGAGTTTAGTTTTGTCATACCACGTGACATTTTCCATCATATGTATTGCCCTGATATATTGCTAGATGTCAATCTGGGACGATGAGTGTAAATTGGTGATAAATTAAAAAGGCATTTTAATTTATCTATTTTGATTAGATCAAAATAATATTTCACGTCGTTAGGCATTGTGGACGAGAACTGGTGGGTCGCACACAAAAGGAGAACTGAAAGATTGTGATTTGTCAATTAGTTAATTTAATAAACATTGAATAAATTAATTAATTGAGTTGCTTATTCGTAGGCTTGAATTAATTAATTGGACTAATTAGCTCATGAATCGAATTTAATTAAATGGGTTAATTAAATATTGGATCGGGTCAGACCAAGCCCGTTTGGGCTTATATAAACATGACTAGGGTAAAATCTGTAGAGAATTCATTATTCTTGCCAGCACAAGAAAGAAAACAATAATCTTACAATCTTGTTCTCTGTGTGGATCACCGTTGGAGGCTGGACAATTGGACAAGTGTGGGTGGCGAATCAAGATTGCTGGAACGAAAGAATTACAAAGAAGTTTGCAAAATCAAAGAAAAAAGTTTGCAGATCTTGTAAAAGGCACAATATTTATCATAATTTCTATCTAAACACAAAGATATATCCTGGTGGGAATCGAAATCTATTTTAATTTTTCGTTACGCATGTCAAGTAGATTCCCAATACTATTGTAATTTGGTTTTCAATTTATAATGATGAGAATATTGAAATGATAATACATCCATATGGGTGTGTAGATTAATTACAAAAATATCGAAAACTGAAATTTTGGCCTTGGCAGTTGGACGAGTGCCCAACTTCGCTTTCAATGACTCGAGGCCAAAATGATCACCCAGGCCAATTCTTTGACAACTAGGTTTGAAATTTCTAGTTCATTTTTGGCATACTTTCATGAAAAAAATATTTTTTTTTCATATTGAGGCTTTTTCATGGAATATGATTGAGAATCCATATATATGAGAGATTTCATTCCTCTACACAATTATTACACCACTAACAATTTAAACCATTCCGTTCATATCGAGTTTTACAAAAGTCTCTTTACATATTCATCCTTGAGAGTGTTCTTCAAGTTTTAAGAAAAAACACAAGTGCTTAGTGTCTTTCTTCTTCTAAAGCTTGTTAAATCCTACAAACCATTTACAATTAGTCCTTTTAAGCATCAAAAACAATCCTATGGCAAATTTAGTTTGAGGACAGTAATTATGCATTCAAGTCAATTTTCAGAGTTTCTCTTTCTTTTATTTCTTTTCACCATTCCCTTGTTATGGTCAAGTTTTTCCAACAATCTCAAACTAAATTACTTTCTATCCCAAACAAAAATTCCATGTCTACTATCAAACTTATGAATCAAGACCATATTCACTTGGATC